ATCTAGATTCTCTGGTTCATTATTCTTTTCGTCCCATGGAATTTTCTTATGATTTTCTTGTTTCTTGTTTTGTCGCCGAGAAAATTTCAAATTTCTTGAGGGATTTTGGTTTATGTTTGCTCGTGTAGGTTTACCCACTGTTCGCCGCCGTCGGTGTCGCCATCGGAATCTGCGGGTTTCAGTTGGTCCGCAATATCTGCATCAACCCCGAAGTCAGGTCTGTTTCTCTCTTTCTATACATATGTGTGTGTATATATATTGTATATATTCATTTTTAGGTATTGTTGATAAAAGAGATAATCTTGGGTGTTATTGTTTGCTTTGAAGATGAGATTTTTTTATGAAAGCTATTTGGAATTGTTTGGTTTCATTGAAAAGGTTGATAGGGGGAAAGCAAAGGAAGAATTTTGGGGCAATTTGTTTGGTTGATGTTGTTACTATTTGCTTTGTGAAATAGATTACTTTGTTTGTGTCAAACGCAAGTACTAATATTTAGCCTCGTTGGTTTACTCCATAAGGTTTACTTAGCGGCTAAAAGCAAAACAAATTTATCAACGGAATCTTGGTGTTTTCAAAAATTCTTGAGATTTATAATTTGTTTCCACGAATTGATGCATATATACGCTCATAATTATGTCTGTATTTGTGTGTATTTCCATCAAGTGAATTGGAGTTCTTGTGGAATTCAAGATTATCAGTGGACTTAACTAATTTAGTCACTTCTGTCTTCAGGGTTAGCAAAGAGACCAGGGCTGCAGGAGTTTTGGATAACTTCGCCGAAGGAGAGAAGTATTCTGAGCATTTTCTGAGAAAATACGTCCGCAACAGGGCTCCGGAAATCATGCCCTCCATCAACAGCTTCTTCACCGATCCAAACCGGAGCTAAAATGATTTGTGGAACTCTACTATGATTTTTGCGTTCTTTGAAAGTTGTGTTAAAATTTGCAGTTAGACTTGCAAATTGAACTATGATAAATCGTGGATAATAATATTGTCATGGGTTTTGTTTATGTAAAATAATCTAAATATGGAGATCTCTGAAACAGCCGCAATGACAAGTTGTTGTGCTTGCTTTTAAAAATGTGTTTTGGTATATATAATCTGCATCAATTTATTCATCTCTATATTGTAGCAACTGCTTGATTAAGCTTCATCAGGTCTTAGCATGACAGCTTTTGGTATAACCGGGCTACACAAAATTACATGAAAAATAGAATCAAGGCTTGTGTGCACTCAAGCTGACAATAAAAAAGGTTTTGGGTGCCAACTTTGTTGAGTTGCAATTTTTCTATTAGGTCTGAAGCTATTCAATTTACTCGTATAAAAAGGGCATATATGGCCTGTCATGAAGCATAAACAGGTTGAAATCACGGAACTTCACTCGTAAATGCTCATTCTCACAACCAGAATCTCGATCCATGAGCTATGCTTCAATGGGTTATGCGCGACCGTTTACAGAGTGATCCAAAATTACTACATATAACCGTCTTCTGTCTTTAGCCAAATAATAATAATAATAATAATGATAAAAATTACACCATTACCTTCTGTAAATAGATTAGCTAAAGTATGGGCATTTAAACAACACAAAGCTCACTGGACTGCCAAAACCTATGAAACACGAGTAACGAGGTGAGTTTAATTTCATACAAAGTCTAGAACACACCATCTCAACAAAGAATAACCAAAAAGAAACTAACTGCCGTAAAGATGGCAAAATTCAACATTTTAATGACTGTGAGGCATGAGGAAATGACCGTAATGCCAGCTACGCTTTGGAAGATTATTTGTACAGGCTTCGATCTACAATTCTGGTGTCCTATAAATAAATAAATAAGAGAACCCCCCCAAAAAAATCCCTACAAGTATGATGTTCTAATACAGAATGAAGTAATAATTTTCATACTTTGAAAGGCGTCCTAGACACACCACACTTGATTTCAGCAGCGGTGACATTCACCCTTAATCTTGACGACAATAATAAGATCATCATCAAACAATTTATAGAATGGCAGAAGTCCGAGTTACGCTCTATCTTCAATTGATTCCACACATTTCATTGGCTGTTGATTTCCCATGAGCCAGAAACTGGCATAAACATGCATCTAGAGCGTGCTCGTGGGAATATCAGGGAGGAAAGTGTTCAACATCCATAGAAGGGAAACTGGATTGTGTTATTCTCATTCCTCGCAGCAAACTCTTTGCTGTTTCCTTCTCCTGTGGAAACCGGCAAAGTAAAAAGTTAATCACAAGTATCTAAAATGTCGGACTTGTTAAAATCACAACGATGGCATATTTCTTTAGTTTAACAAATATATACGAAAGGATAAAGAATTTAACTTACTGGACCAGTGTAATCCAGAAGACGAGTACAGTACACCTCTGCTTCTTCAAATCTCTTCTGGTCCTTGTAGTGTGTGGCAAGAAATAGCAAAGCTTCAACCATATTTGGTCCTTCCCTCTCTTCAGCTTCCATCCTTTCCAAATCCCTCTTGTAGTAAAAAGCAGCCTCTTCAGAACGTCCGAGCTCTTTGTGTAGCTTTGCTAACTGGTGCAGGGCAATTGCTTCCCGGTCATTGCAACTAACTGCCCTTCTGTAGCACTTGATTGCTTCTTCCAGCATGTGAAGTTGGTCCTGTTCATAGCACTGGGCCATGGCTATCCACAGTCGAGAATCGTTCGGTTGCAAGAAGACAGATTTCCGGAAATAGTGAAGGGCATAAAAGCGCATCCCCATCATCTCGTAAGCTTGTCCCAGTCCATACCAAGCTCGATAATCACAAGGGTTTATGTCTATAGCACGGCGATAGGCATCAACAGCAGCTGGAGTATTTTTCATCTCAACAAACTCATGACCCATAAGCGTCCAAGCTGATAAATAGTTCTTGTCCAGTTTAAGTGCCCTCTTAAAGTACAAGACCGACTTCTCGTGCTGCCCCTTTAAACTGTAATAATTCCCAATAATGCAGCAAGATTCGGGTCTGTATTTATCTGTCAAGAATACCCTATGGGCAAGGTAACTCAGGGCAGAAAAACATTCTTTGGCATAAAGCACATTGGAGTACATATCCATGTCTTCCACTCGATATGGGTCATTCCTGAGAAGTTCTTCAAAGATTGCTTCAACTGTCTCAAATTCCCTTAAACTATACTGAGCTTTTGCAATTTGAGCCTGTATGTAATTACTAAAACTGAAAGTGCCCTGCAAATATTCGTATTTTGCTAAGGACTCGTTGTGCATTCTTAGTTCTTGGTAAGCATTGGCAAGAAAGAAGTCCTTCATCCAATGGTTATTGAGACTAATGCTGTTCAATATGTCAATTGTAGTGCATAAAGACTGGAGTTTTGACCAGGCATCCCAGTTCCAAGGGTAGCTATTCACAGACTCCACAAGAACCCAACGAGCAAGGTTCTCGCTCCCTTTCTCTTTGAGCACAATACCATACAAGTATAGCCCAAAAGGATCAATTGCGCCACTCTTGTGGAGTGTTGATAGCTCTCTTTCTATGGAAACCAGTTCACGGTTCACAGCATCGGTCTTACCTAACGGTCCCTCAAGCTCTATCATTTCTTCCTCTTTGCGCTTTTCTCCAGCCTCCATTTATTAAAAAAAAAGAAGGGGGGAAATGAAAATTTGAGCTACTGAAAGTGCAGCAAGCTTCTAAACACCCAAGAAACTTTGAAGTCATAACTTTGGTGAGAGTAAAGCAAGTTAAAATACTAAGCCGGTGATGAAACACTATAACAGAATCAGTTCAAGGCCAGTTGTTGAATCAACAGACAAAATCTCTGCTATGCTTTGTTGGTATGTGCTTGATCTATTACACAAATGTGCTAGTATAAGATGGTTTAGGTAAAAGTATAACTTATATCTCCCACTACAAATAACTTGGGATTTCTAGTACTGAAGCAAAAGCAACAAGTATAAGACAGCAAGAAGAGAATGCAACTAACCAGATAAAGAGCATAGCAGCGCAAGAACACCGATTTCTTCCCCATCTGATCACGGAGCACGTGAGCAGCCCTTTTGTACTCTCGGCAATCAAAATACGACTTAGCCAAGAGGTAAAAATCACCATCCACGATCTCGTCTTCCTCCATCACTGGAGTAGATACGTAGGACACACCGGTAGTCGGCGTCGAGGTGACATCGTTGGTGCGAAACCTGCGGCGGATGCTAGAGCTTCCACGGTGGAACCTGGTGTTTGCCGGCGTGAACTTCGCTGGGTCTTGCTCGATACCCACGAGCAGCTCTGCTGCCCTACAAGGGCACATAAAGAAATCAATTACTACACAGTTAACAATTACCAACACCAGAAACCAAAAAAGAAATCATTTTTTCCACCTTCCTGCCAAATGCAGCAAGATTTGAATTTGAAATGGGGATTTTGACATACCCATTTGGCCTAATTGAAAAAAGAAAAATCTTTGAAAAAATGGAGAATTTACCTATAGTAGTCTGGACTTTTATCTCTTACTCTTAATAAATATCTTTTTATTAGTATAATTATTTGACTAAAAATGTTATAAATCGGTAAAAATTTTGACCTGCGATATTTATCGAGATTACCCTTGATCTTTTTTCATATTGCAAAACAAATTTATTAACTCAATCGTATCTTTAATACAAACCTGCAGAGCAAACAACCCTTATAAGCGGACAAAAAATTTCAAAATTTTAAGATGACGCAGCTAAAATCGAACTAAAGTTAAAAGTCATCTCAAAAGTTTAAAAAATAAACCCAACATCTGATAAATTCAGCAACAAAATCGCAACCGAAAGAAAAAAAGAAAAAGCTAGCTAGGGTTTGGAAAGGGGGTTTTACCATTTGGAGGCGGAATAGAGACATCGATCGCTGAGCTGACGAATAGCAGTTCGAAGCTCGTTTCTGCAACTCTCCTTCGAACTCATCTCTCTCTCTCTCTCTCTCTCTCTCTCTAAATGTTGCGCAGAAAGATCTCACATTTGCGAGCAGAGAGTGGTTTAGTTTGGTGTTCTGGTGGGAGCAAAGCAAAGAGTGATGTGATTTTGAAAAGCGAGGGTTTTTGGGAAGAGGGGGAATATGACCTTTTTCGTTTATTTCTTTTGATTTCAAAACCCATGTATAAAACTGAGGGTTTTTTTTTTTTCCTTTGAGAAGGGGATTTTTTTTTTTTTTGAGAAATTATAAAAACGGAGAATAGAATACAAAAAATTAAAAATAAAAATAAGAGAGATTCTATTATTGGGGGTGTACTTTCTCTTATCGTAGAGTAACTATTACCGTTCGATTCTGATTTAATGGTTGCTTACAAGTGAGTTTATGAAAAGAAAATAAGCCTGCGCATATCGGAGCATAGACTAAACAATGAAAACTCTACACCTGATTAATTTTTTTTTTTATAAAAAAAAACACTCAAAGCTAACTCAAACCATCCAACTCCCTCTTCCACCACCTGGCCACCCCCTTCTATCCACGGCCGATGACTTCCTCTGACATTGTCGGCGTTAACCCACGACTTCCGTTGGCACAACTCCTCCACGCCATTGCATGAACACTAAGAACGATTAAAAAAATTGAGCAAACAATCCAAATGAATTAGGGCATGTTCTTTTGTCTAAAAAACTCAAAAAAAGACAACTCGAGTTCCAATTTTATTCAAGTTCACGTTCTTTTAAGTTTCAACTTTATTCAATTTTACTCAACTTTATTCAAGTTACAACTTCAACTCAAGTTATAACTCAAAAACTACACTCAAATTACACTCTAAAAGAACAACCTCTTAATTTCCATACCGTCACTAGCACTACTACTATTATACTAATTCCAGTTCGAAGCCCACACTATAGGCCAATATTTCATGGCTAGGTCAGACCATGCCATGGGCCGTGAACAGGCCATCTCATTTGAGCCCATCAAGGAGTTAGGATTGGTAGGTCAATCTTGATCCATTTATATGGGTCAGCTCATTTTAATCTTTAATTTTTTATTTTTTTAATATATTTTTTAAAATTTTTTAAAAAAGTTAATAAAAGTCTGAATAGTTAATAAAAATATAAAAAGAGATATTTATTTACAATTATCTTATTAAAAACTTTTCTAATAGAAAATTTAGTGGGATAAAATCTTCATAAAAAAAAAATAAATACAGAATAATTATACATAAAATGTTTACAAAGTTACTAAAAAAAATCAAATAAACAAAAAACATAAAAAGCCTGATATGTTAGACCTTGCAGAAGGCCATTCTCCAAGGCTATGTTCACCCACGAATGAACATAGCAAAAAAACAAAATTTAATTATTCATAAATAAATAAATAAATAAATATATATATATATATATATATGAAATTAGGCTATAATGGACCTTTCATAGGTTGCCCTATTATTGGGCCAGTTCGTGCTAGCTCAGCACAGCTCAAGTTCGACATGGCTTATGAATTTTCATGAGTCGTGCTGGGTCGGTCCATGAGATGAGAAATACTAGTCTAGCCCAACCCATTAATTTTGTTGGGTTTGTCCGTGCCTTAAACAATATCGTACCGGGCCAGCCACGGACCTTGGCCCATGGTTGCATCTCTAGATTTTCCTTAAAAATAAATAATAAATAATTAGAAGGTACATTTATTCAAAACCACGAAAGACCATGACTTATAAAACAACACAACAATTGACGAGAGAGTTTCGAAAGCTATAAAAAAAATGTCTATGGTAGGGTGATTATGGCGTTGTTCTTTTGCCGTTTTTGAGTTAGGTGACTTGAGTATAAATTTTGAGTTGAGTTTGAGTTATAACTTGAGTTGAAGTTGTAACTTAAGTTTGTGTTTGGTTGTATACATTTGAGTTATGATTTGAGATAATAATCTTTTTGAGTTGTGTGTTTGAGTGAGTCAAAACTTAAATTTGTATTTAGATAGTATTTTAATGAAAACTCAATGCTGATGAAAAATTTTAATAGGGTATATGGGTGGAGTTTTATTCGTCTTTTCGTTGTCAACGCATAGAAAAAAAATCATCTCAATCAGAATTAAAACGAAAAAGTTATAGCATTTTTAAGAATAGAAAAATACTGTTCATTAATTTGAGTTCGAGTTTCTGAACTCGAGTTGAGGGGAAAACTTGAACTCGAGTTTTAGTCCCAAACTCGAGTTTTAGTCTCAAACTCGAGTTCAAACTTGAATTTAAACTTAAAAGAACGTGAACTTAAATAAAATTATAAATCAAGTTACTTTTTTAAAATTTTTAATTCAAAAAATGAACTGCGAACAGCCCCTGTATTTTTGTCTACTGGTAGGGTGTAAAATCTGCACCAATAAATTACAAGTTAAACGGTTAAAGATTGTGTTATCCATAAAAACTACACCATTCAATACATACTCGTACATTTGATTACTCTCTTTTTCTCAAATTTAAGAATTTATAAATTTGCATAAATCTCAGCCATTAATCTAGTTAAAGCTTTTGATCTTAGCCCTTGATCTCTAAATCCCTAACACTGATAAACCAAAAATGTCCTAGAGCTTCGTCAGCCCATCCTCGCCGTCAACCGAGCTGCGTGCTGGAGCTTCACTCGCCGGCAACACCTTGGCTCCCTCGTCCTCCCCACGCCCTCATCGTACTCCCCGCGCCCTCGCCGTCGACACGTTGGCCCCGCACAGTCGCCGTCCTCCCCGCGCAGCCGTCGTCCTCGCCACGCCCTCGTAGTACTCCCCGCGCCCTCGCCGTCCTTCCCTTGCCCCCGTCGTCCTCCCCCTTTCCCTCGTCGTCGTCGTCGTCCTCCCCGCGCCCTCACTGCCCTCTTGCTCGTCGCACTGTCGCGACCCATCACCGGCTAAGAACGCCCGCTGCCCACTCAAGCACCTTCAATTCCTCGTTTTGATTTTTGGCCTGCTTTTTTTTTTTTTTCTATTTGATTTGCAGAGAACGGAGAGGAAGAAAACGCTGATAAGGAATGAAGAGAACGAACGAGATTTGCTAAAAAAGTTTGCATTTTTATTTTTTAGGATTACTGAAATTTGTGTTTGTTTAAAGAATTGACAATGAACACGATGATTTTCAAGCGAGGTTGTGAATTGTTTTACAATGAACAAGATGATTTTCAAGCCGGAATCGGGGTTTTACGTCGCCGGAATCTGGGTGTTAGATATAAACTATTGTTTTGACTTTTTATATTGTGAAGTTAATTTTTGTTTGAAAATTAATTTGTGAAATTTTGAGAAATTAGTTTAATTTATATATTACAAAGGTAATACATAAAATTAGTTTACTGTTAATTATAATTATACTTTTTTAATTAATAAAATAGGTTTAATTTTGTGATTATAATTATTGTGATAATCTGTAAAAAAAAAAACATTTTTCTCATATCTATTTATTTAAAAAATAATCTCAAAAGAAAAAAAAAAGAATTGTTATTCTTAAGGAAAAAAAAATGTGTAACAACCATTTTTTTGAAAAAAAAAAAAGATTTGTTTTATGAAAAATAACATGGGGTAAGAAGAAATATTTTAATAAAAATAATGGTTGCTTTTGTAATTATTTTTATTATTTTTGGGTTACAATTAGATGCAAAGGCAACACATAGACCTTCGTTGAGATTTAGCTCACCCTATTATAGACATGTAAAAAAAATGAAAAATAAGATAAATATCTCTTATTTTTATTAGATATTATTTTTAATTAAATAATTATATCAGTAAAAATATATTAATTAAAAATAAAAGATAAAAATTTAGATTCATATACTTTTAAGTGTAAATTTAATAATTTTTTCAAAAAAAAACAAAATGACATTATAGTATAAAGATACTCATACTTATATAACAACGTATTAATTAAAAATAAAAGATAAAAATTTAGATTCATATACTTTTAAGTGTAAATTTAATAATTTTTTCAAAGAAAAACAAAATGACATTATAGTATAAAGATACTCATACTTATATAACAACGTTAAAAACGACAAGAGAATTGAAACGATAAAACAGTGAAAAAAATGAAAACGCGAGACAGAGACAAATAAACAAAGTGAGCAACAAAGACGCCATGTTCATTTCACAACTCAAGTCTTAACTTAAATTATGACTTGAGTTATGTGTGTGTAAAAAAAATAATGTAACAAAGAAGTTAAATTTAAATTTTATGAGAGAAAATACTGTAACAATAAAGTTTGAGTTGTGACTTGAGTTGTATTTTTGTGAAAGAAAATACTATAACACTTTTTTAAAAAATAAAATGAATGAAATACAAACTCGATATAAAAGACGTACATGACCCCGAATATAATGGAATTTGACCCCTACTACTGGATCCACCAGTAAAAACACTGATAACATAAGGGAAAATATGATACTCAAAGGGAAAAAGTCTAATCCGCACATAAAAATTGAGCACGGTTGAAGCTTGTTAAAAAAGGCCAAACAATCAGTGGATTAATCCAATCGACCGAGACCAAACCTTTTGTATAAGGAACATCTACACGGTCTAGTAAAATTTCTAGCTGGACTAAACAACCCATACCGACGGTGATCAACTCGCCTGGATGAGCGAGATAACTAACGCTAGGACCACCTCCTTTATTATCAATATACTAACGCTAGCAACAAACACATAACACAAACAACAATAAACACAAATCTAGAATGTCGCCTCTATCACGATCCACGAACATGAGGTCCCTCAATGCCAGCCACCCAAAAGCCCCATCTACTCAGACTTTAGCCGTCAAACCACCAAAGGGCTCTCACTGACCCTCCTTGATCCTTCCACCGGACAGACTAGACGTTTCTCAGCCTACCCACCATCGGTGACACGAACCTACCCCCAGCCACAGGGGAGTCCCTTAACACCAGCGACAGGCCAAGGGAGGCCCAATCCGCCCAAACCATCTCAACCCCACGCAGCTGAGCCAAAACCCACCCGCAACGCACCCAGCCCGTTCCCGATCCGAACCTCCCACGACCGTCGCACACGACGTATGCTCCTCCATCCTCCTTTGTGGACCCAAATCGACAGTGGATAATCCGTCTCTTTCGGCAACGCTCCTAGGCTCCGATCCAAGCAAAAAGCTTCTCTCCTGGCGACACGAACCCTAGGACATGAAGATCGGCC